CTGCTGGCAGTTACTCAGGTGCAGGTTTCAGGAGAGGGGATATGCAAGCTCTGAAGGCTGATCCTTCTGAAATGTATTGTCACCTTCCAGTAACCTGGTTGTCCTGGTCAGGTACTTGTTTTCTCAACCAGAAACAGGATGTGGATTTCAAAAGACAGAGCTTACCTTGTTTCTCATCTGGACAGGACAACCTTCCTCTGTCTTGAGCAACCACCAAGAGGCTTATGCAAGCAGCATGTGGAGCAGAGTGTGCGTGAACGTGTTCTGGCACTGCTTCATCAGTCTGAATAGGTTTACCTTGCCCATCAAAAAGTGTTGAAGCAGTGATTAACATGTCAGTTTTTACTGCTGTGAATGTTTATTTCGAAGTAACGTTAAAGCATTGAGAGAGTCCTGCAACATTAGCTAGTACGTTACTGCTACAGGACTGCTGCTGATGGTAAGTTACGGTATTTTTGTTAGAAATGCTTGTTCTAACAAAGTCCCAGAGGAGGAGCTGGCCCTCTTCAGTTGAAAAACGAGGCACAATCTCAAGGAATTAGCCCAGTGGTTAGATATATGCCTTTGAGGGTGAGGACTCTGGAAAAGGGGCTTTTGGGAAGGCTTGGGGGATGGAGTAGAAATAGCAGCAATTTTCTTGTGTGTGTGTGAGCTTCCTTACAGTAAAATCTTTGATGTTGTTACCTGGGTAGTTTCCTTATTCTTCTGCAAGTCTGGGAATAAAGGTTTATTAGAGAATTTTCTGCCAGTGTCTCTTTGCATTCGTACTGTGGTTGGCAGAAGGCACGACCAGCCTTTGTTTTTACATCCTGACTCTTAAACATATCGTTTGCTGCTACACACCTTTCTAACTGAGGGATCAGAGGCGTAGCTGTAAATATGAGGAAGGCTTAGGATAAAGCTGGAGTATACAGGCTATTAACCCGAGGTCACTTACGAAGTGAAAGCTGCTTTTGCTGTGGGGTTTTCTTTCTTATTCAGAGCTTGTTCTGCCCTCTGCTGACAGTTCGTGTGATGAAACGGAGGTGGCGTTAACGGTATTTTCGTGGTAAGAGCTGCCTGTGCCAGCTTGCTGGTTGCAGTCTGTATTGCCAAACAGAATTTGAATTCCTGTCATTAATAAAACTTCTTGCCACGGGTAACTGCTGTGCCCATTAAGTTTATAAAGTCTATTACCTGAAGGTGTGTAGTAAATACACTAATTTTGGCCTTAGAAAATAATCTGAAGGTACAAGTTATTACTCAAGGAATAGTTATTCTGTCTTTCAAAGCTATATTTGCTTTCTGAAGGCAAGCAAATCTCTGATTTTTTGCAGGCAGGCTGATTTGTGAAGTCAGGTACTTGAGTTAAGAAATGAGGATGCCTGTGCTATTTTAATGCTATCTTAATCCTTGCTGCATGCATATGCATTTCATGCCTGTGCTCATTATATTGCATACTATTTTCCTCTACACAGTTTCTTTTGCACAGTGGTGTGTTGCACATGTAATGAGCAGTAATTCCATCTATTTGTTTTTTCCCCTGTGACATAGCCAAGCCTGGAGTGCTGTTCTTCAAGACAGACTTCAGATTATAGTTCTGTCTACTTTCCAGTTTCACAAAGAAATGAAGCAAGAAGCACTAATCACTTTGAACTTGATTCATCTCTTGAGGAGGTTCATCCTATGGACTGAATAAGTTGAAGGGACCTGAAAACGAAAAAATGCGTAATATATGTAAAAGGAGGCAAAATAAGGATTGTACAGACTGCTTCAGTTCTGATACATCCTCATTTCTTAAGTATCTGGCTTTGCAACCTTGATCTTTTAATATTACCTGAGTGGGGTTGAGATGTCCAAACTCTTGAGAAAGCCAACCTGTAAAACTGTGCATCAACCCGAGGATGGTTGTTGCGATGGTTGTGTAGCTATGGCAGTTGTGAACAAGATTGGAGCTTTTATATCCACTTCTGCCAGTTGCATTCATGAAGCAACCAAAGTAGAGATAAGTTTGCTGTAATTTTATTGACAAGCGTAATGGGACGTATTTTTGCCAGTGGGTTTCATAGATAGTTGCTGAAAGCAGGAGAGTGATGAGAGTCAGGTTTTTGTGAATGTATGCAGGTTTTTCTGAATGTAATCCATAGACATGGACTGTCTTGCTGTTCCTTTCTTCATCCCTCCAGCTTATCCCCATCCTGGTTTCTATACTTGAGGTTCCACCTCTATCTGAGTTGCATCCCTTGCTGCAGAAGACCTTAGCTCCTGCCTCTGCTTGCCTCCTTCCCTTTCTGCAGCCTCCACTTGAGCCTCCAAGCTCAGTCTTCCTTCTTTGTGCTCTTGATCTAGTCTTGATTTCACCTCAGCTGCCACTTCTAGCCTAAATTGTAGGTTTCATGCTGTTTTGACTTTCAGATCACTGAAAAACTTGCCATTGGAGCTGTAATTTAACTATGCTGACAGCAGCATTTGCCTTCTTGGCTACTTACTACAGGCCCCTTCAGAGGAGCTGCAGACCTTCACCCTGGTTGCTTTACTGAGCCGCCGCCTCTCCTCCCTGCTTGTCAGTTCTGACAGTGAACAGCAGCCAAACGAGCAAACACGTGGGCTAGTATGGAAGGAGGATGAGTCTTTGGTAATAAATAGATTTTTATTTGACCCACAAATTCTAGTTGTAATTAACCAGCTGGGAGCTATAATTGCAATATTCCAGGGGCCTGGCTGCCATCAGATAGGTGCTGTCTTTGTGTCTGCAGAGGAGGATTAGAGATGGTGTTCGAAGGTGCTGCTTGGGGAAAACCAAGCTGTTGTTCTGATGGGGAGCAGCTGAGACCTGGGTTTGTCACAAGGGACCACTAAGGCTGGTTTTCAGCCTTCTTACAGAACAGTGCATTTTGCAGAGAGACACTTACTGTGTGACATCTTTGCTCCCACAGACAGGCTGCCCTGGGAGAGGAGCTTGCAAGTGTGTGCCTTTCAGGAGGAGAGTCAGCGTTACAGTCTGTATTTATCTGATAAAATTAACAACTGCAGTTCTTAGAGCAAAGGGGATGGGCACTTAATTATAATTCAGTAACCCAGTAGGGAGTCCAAATAATGATTGCAAAGGATGAAAACTGTATTGCACTTGCAACCCTGCTAAGACCACAGGAGATCCTGAAAACAAAGACAGAAGGGGGGGTACCGGAGGCCCTGTCAGCTGCTTTAAAAAGATACCATCCCCTAGCTGGTCTGGCCAGTCGCTGGCTGGTGAGCTTACCCATGGTACTGCAGAAGGTCCATCTAAGGTCCATCTGGCTGCTCATTCCAGGGCATGCAGGCAGGAGACCCCGAGGCACCTCATGTGTCACGCTCTGCCTTCTTAAACTGGGCTTTTCAGTGGCTCATGCTATGCAAAGGACTGGGGTGTCTGGATCCAGGTACTAAACATCCTTAGGCAACCTCCTCCCAAACAAGTAACCTGCTTTTAGATACCAACTCAAGGAGGAAACAAAGTGTTTCCTACCTGGAAAAGAGGGCAGGAGGGCTGCTGCCTCCATAGCTAATTGCTGGTTGTTGAAGTGAGCTGGTGCTGGTGGCTTCCCGTGGGCAAGGAAGCTATGGGCTGTGTTAAGCCATAAATATGAAGGCTGGGACTCCACATAGCATTAGACTGTAAGAGAGCTGTGTACGGCTTTTACTGCTTTCCTGAATAGCCCTTTTTTTTTTTAAACAAAAAACTTTTTTAAAATGAGGTTATTAACAAAGATTAATACATGTTGATTGCATCCTTATGGTTTTCCCCAAGTTTTAAGTTTTAAAACAAGTGCTGACAGCATGCTTGTTTGCTCTGAGAAGAGGAGTCAGGCATTTACGCTGAGGAACCGTGCTTGGAGTTCAGCAGTAGGTAGGAGACTGGGCTCAAGATGTATCCAAATCCCAGTTTCTTAACCCTCCTACATACGAGTGCAAAATTGTTTTTTGTTGTTGGAGTTGTTAAATGCAGTAGATACGATTTATTTTTGGTGGATTTTTTTTTAGTTCTTTTGGATGCTGCTTTGGTTTTACTAACATTTTTTTAACACCTTTTTTTTTTTTCCCCCCTGTCTTTCTCTGACACCAGCCATTGATGGATTTCTAAAAACCGATGAAAGACAAAGACTGGCAAAGGAGAGAAGAGAAGAAAGGGAGAAATACCTTGGTAAGATGGCAGGAGGTCTATGTATTACTTACATATATGTGTCAATAGGCTTAAGTTACGTAACATTTTTTCTGTTCTGAATCTTAAACATTGTAGTTCAGTCTGTTCCTAGTCTTTATCACTTCTATTACTCACTTTAAATTAGATTATTAAAAAAATCTATATAGTCTTGATTTCCATTAGATTATTTAATATTCTATAGTTACAAGTTGACTTTCTTCTTTGATTCATGTACTGTTGAATATAGATTTATGTGGAAGATACTGACTGTTAGAATCCTGATTTGTAAAAATGCCAAATAAGCCTTGAATAACACTCAGCATAATATGTAGGGTGATTTGGTGCAACAGCCTCAATTTTAGTCTGTTAAGTTTTAGCCATATTAAAAGACATCGTGGAGTTGTTAAGTATGGCATAAAGCAGATACTTTTCCGTAAATTTAAAAATGGTTAATCTTTCAAGAGAATGTGAAAAATTATTTCATTTCCTGAATAACATAAGCATTCATTTAACAGTTTTTAAAATAGTCAGTTGTTTTTAATTTACTAATACATCCAGGGAAATGTTGAGGAAATTGCAGGGGCTTGGGGGTGTGCTGGGAACAGATATGTATGTATGTACAAGTATGGATAAAAAAATAAAAGGACGGTGTGTGTATACAGAGTTAACTTCATATATATATGTGAATGAAATTAACTGTTCAACGTTGTTTTGGACTTTCTGTGTATACATTTATATGTATTAAAATGTTGAACAGTTAACTACTTTTTCTCACTGTAATAACAAGAAAGGCCAGTAGCACTGTTCCTTAAGGTTACCTGACAATAGCTATCAGAAGGAATTGTCAGTGCTTTATGATTTTGTAAAATTTAAGCTAGGAGTGTATTTTGAGGAAATGTCAACTAAAACAGTGTGGACACCTGTGAAAAGAATCATAAGAAAATACTGTGTTTCTTGCAATAAATAAACAAACTCTCTGATCATTTATTGACAAAACCTGTGGCTTGAGACCAGTGACCTGACATTTTTTAGTACCATGGGCTTGGTGAGGAAGGTTACTCTTGGTAGTTCCTGTGAAAATCTGCTGGTGTTTACTACTGAATCTCCCCAGAGGTTCTGTCTGTGTGGGACATGCACCAGCCTGAGTTGTAGCTTACATCCCTTCCAGGTATTCTCAGTCCAGACTATATCTTCTGTCCTCTTGATTATCCCTTCTTTGCTGGTTCCTGAGAAAGTGACATGGTGAGTAGATTGAAAAGGACTTGGATTAAAAACCAGAAGAGGAGATGAGAGGGAAACTGAAAGCTGGAGGATCTGGGAGTGGCTGGCCCAGGGGATTTGGATGGTGATGGCTGCAGTTCTCGTCTCCAGACATCATACTTGCCTTCTGGAAACATACTTTTTTAGGGTTAAGACTATTTCTATAACGAGGAGCTCTGGGTTTTGGCCACAGTTTCTGTGGCAAATTTATTTTAGAAATTCAGAAAAAAGCAAGGAGTTTCCCCAGGAGCATAGATCTTTATGCAGCTAGAAGGTACTTTTTCAGCAATATGGAATAACTTTTCACCAAAGCCAAAACTCATTTATCAGTAGTTTAATATCCCTAAATTAAGGAACAAGAATTGTATTTATGTCCATGACAACAGAATGGTTTGCTTCTCTGTCCAAAATCAGTCCCAGGTTTCACCTGCTTACTCAGAAGATAATCTTAGCACAATCTCTGGACACCTTGCTTTATTTTTGGTTTTTATCAAGTCCAGCATGCTGTTTTCACCTGCTCTACCTGACGTGGCTGGTAGTCATTAATAATTAGAAACTGGTTGCTTGTCTTCCTCTGTCTCTGAGATAATTCATCTGTTGAAAAGTCTTAATTCTTCATGTGTACAAGTCCAGGCTCACCTGCAGTACTGACTCCTTTCATACTACCCTGTCCTGGCAGGGGAGGGGTAGTGAATTCTCATAAGACAAAAGGGGAAGACAATATCAACTGTATTTCTAACAAGAATAAGGTAGAATGTTCTCTGTAAAGCAGGTTGGATGTGAAGAAGTATTTTAGGAGGATCTAGTATTCAAGGGAAAGAAATGCAGCTATTGGAAAAGGATCTGGTGTTGGAGGGACTCTGGCTTCAAACCCAAGGCTTGAGGGTGGAGTGGGGCTAAGAGGGACTGGAGGTCACGGCTGTGGTTAAAGACCGTGGTGGTAGGAGCTGAGAGAAGAAGGCTGCTCTGAGAAGAGGGAGTTGAGGTGGCTGGGCAAGAGTCTGGGACTGATAGGAAGATGCTGAGAGTTAGAAGGGTGAAAACTTGCTGTACAAGGAAACAGTATCTGAAAAAGCAGCCAGAGGAGGAATAGATGAGCAGGATGAAGGACTAGCTCTTGTATAAACAGTGTTAATTCTGGCTTTCCCTAACTTTCAAGTTCTTAGCCTGGCAACTGAGAATATTCCTTCTTTGATATCGGCTGTATGTGTGTTGGGATGTGACATTACAGGCTTGTGTGTACGTAGGCATGCTTACTCAACTCCTTTTTCCTGCCTTTTTATGGAATACACTTGCATGAGAAGTGGATTTTTCCTCATGATTTGTCACATTAGCTTCTGCTACTTGTTCTCCTATGTACACCTGAAGCAACAATCCTATATGTTATGTTGCAGTCTAAATTTCTGTAACAACAAGATAATGTCTCAAGAAGATGATTATGACTCCAGTTGGAATAAACAACTGGGCAAAGCCTCAATAACAGAAGCAATTTTTTTTCCCCTATGCAAAGAGGCAGATGTGAATAATAATGTAGCACCAAATTATGAACAAAATAATGTATTTTCAAAACTTCATAGAAAATGTTGTTTTCATGTATTTATTTTGAAGGCAGCCCCATAATGAGAAGCATAATTTTAAAGAAATTCCAAGGGCTTTTGCTTCAACATGTATAACTGGTTCACTTTAAAACCTACTTGGAACATTTGTTATGTCTGAAAAGATAATTTGGCTTTAAGTTACAGAGGGATTTGAAACAAAACCAAAAAAAGTTATCTATTCTGTACACTGTTTTTACATAGGTAAGGAGCACAAACTGTCATCTTGCATACAAAGGGCTTCCCCTATTTATTGAGCAAATCACTTAGATTTACCAGTCATCGCAGCATTTCTATTCACTGTATTTTTTATCTTAATGGACTAAAACCATGTGTACTTGTATTTGCTGTTTTACACTGTTGTGTCATGCTATCAAATAATTTTAAAGCAGAAGAAAATTTGTATAAAGTGGAATGTACCTTTTTCTCTGCCCAAGCTGCCAGGGAACAGCAGATACTGGAGAAGGAGAGAAGAGCAAAACTTCAATATGAAAAGCAAATGGAGGAGCGATGGAGAAGACTGGAGGAACAGAGGCAGAGAGAAGAGCAGAAGAGAGCAGCTGTTGAAGAAAAACGGAGACAAAAGCTTAAAGAGGAAGAGGTGAGGTCCACTGGGAGATGTACAGCAGAGCAACTCTGTATGGTAGCGTTAAGCATAGCTGAATATTGACACATGTTAAATGTTGATCTCTGTACTTTTTTTTTTTTTTTGATGGCCTAGACATTTGTGAGCATTACTTTGGGCACCACAAATGGACATTGCCACAGCTATAAGTACACTTTCCAAAGCTTTTTTTGTCTCTTTATTTTTGTCTGATCTCACAGAATAGTCATCTGCTTATGTTGACATACCTGGGACTCTGACTGTCAGATGATACAGCACCAGCTTACCAGAAGGTGGTTTTTAAAGATGAGTGTTTCCATAAAAGGGAAAGATTTGTTTTCTTACTATTTTGTTTACTGTCCTGGAAACTGAAATAATGTTTGTGAAAATGCGCTGGTTTTTTTTTCTCAGTGGCATAAAATCAGAAATTCTTACTTAAAGCAGTGAAGAATCTAGGCTGGTTTCAAATTCTAGCACAGAACAGAATTAATTGTGTATCTTGTGAAGCATCTTTATACCCTTCCTCTCTTCTACTCTCCCTGCAGAGATCATTTAAGATTCTTTTTTGCTCTAGTGAGTCCAATTTCTGATGCACATCTCTGAATGCAGTGTGTGTGTCTCTGCATGACATTCTATAGCAAACACTAGCACTGCTACTGCAACTGATAAAGAATTAATGATTTTTGAAAAAGGGGGCCGTGGTTTACAAAAAAAAAAGGCCAAAAGAAGCTATTTCCTTAGTTCCTAGATAAAAAGGCTCTAGAAATTAGCACAGCAGTTATTAACTTTTTTTCTGCTTTTCATCTTTTATGAAAATATTTTTGTGAGAGAGGTAAAATGCTTCTGCATAGGATCAGAATAATATACTGTTGTCCATTGAAATTTTTTTGTTGTTTGATTTTTCACTTTAACCTGAAGAGAAACTTATATCCTGCCATTCCTCTTTCAACTGTAACATCCTGTTTATGGATTCTGTGTAATAGCTGAGAATTCATTTGAAAATATTTGTCACGTGGTTTGTTACAAATTTTGGTAAGAAAAATGGCAAAACCCAGAAACAAATAGTAGAAGGTCTCTCTCTTTCTGGGGTAACACTATTGACCTGACGTGCTCCTTCCCCACTATTTCCTGGTGTCATAACCTTTTGCAGCTAAGCAAAGTTGATCCCCTTTATGGGGGTTGTAAGGAAAAGTGGCAAGTACAAAAACTTCCAAAACATTGTCTTCAAAATTTGCACTGGAGCAGGATATGGAGGGGGAGAGGGAGAGGTGTGGGAAGAGCGAGCAACTGCCTGCTTTTCCCTGCATGCGTGGTTTGCCTGTGCTGGCAAAATGAGAACAGAGTTGTCGGACGTAAGAGAGGCTGTGCCAGGTCAGACCCAAAGGGTCTGTTCAGTGGGGACCCCATCTGCTGTAGTGGCCTCCTGCACTTGCCCAGAGATGCATGTAAGAGGCTGAGCAGACAGTGATATTTCTCCCAAGCATCAGCAAGCCTGTTACTGCTCCCCAACACCCCATAAATGTGATGGGAGTCTTTTCTAATGGTGAGAGAAATGCTGCCTCCAAGTGTTTGGTCTTATTATGGATACAACTCCTAGCTTTGCTCACTGAGTTGATACTTCAAGCTTAAACTGTCCAAAGCCTTTTGGGAGCCCAGGCCTGGCTTCTTTCCTTTCTTCCCTTCACCTAGGCTGAGGAACCTGAGAGAAGGCTGTGTGGGCAGAAGAACATAGAATCATAGAATGGTTAGGACTGGAAGGGACCCTAAAGATCATCTGGTTCCAACCCCCCTGCCATGAGCAGGGACACCTTCCACTAGACCAGGTTGCTCAAAGCCTCATCCAGCCTGGTCTTAAACACTTCCAGGGAGGGGGCATCTACAACTTCCTTGGGCAACCTAGGAGAGGATGCTTGGTTTTGGGGATGGATAAGACCTGGTTGGAGGAAAAATCTAGGAGCCTCTGAAGGAGAGGAGGGTAAGGGAATAATCTCTAGAACAGGAGAGGATGAGGGAAGAAGGAAACTGGGAAAAGGAGGCACCACCACCACCACGTCCTGGCTTCTCTTCAGAGTTACTTGTAATTCCCTAATTTCTTGAATTCCACTTGAATTCTACTAATGGATCTGCCACATTCCACCTTCCTCAGCTCTTCTGATGAGCCACTCAAACACCACAGGTATAGTAGCAGTGGAGATCTGAGTAAAGATGGTGATGAAGTTGCAGCTCCCTGGGCATTGCAAGTTACTGACTGCTCATGAGTCATTCTGGGCATTTGAGGCCGCCTTTACTGGAAAAGCTTTGAACCTGTATTTCCCACACCTGGGGCAGGGGGGTACTCTGGCCAGTGAGCCAGTAAACTGCAGCATGTCCTCAGTGTTTCTCCTTTTAACACTGGTTTACACTGGGTGGAGACTGGTGCACCCATTGAACCTGCTCATGAGGTATCTGAAGCACCAAGTAGAAATATTTTCTTCCTTGCTCTCTGCCTTATTGGTTTTCCTTTATTTCTTCCTTAAGTCTCTTTTCCTTGCTTGTTAACAAAGCAGAAGGCAGTGTGTATTTGTGATAGGAACAGGTTATATAAATCTCTCTCTAGAGAATATTATTGTTGCATCTGTAAGAGTTTGAGAGATTAATGGCTCTGAACAAACTGTGAGGACTTGTTGGCTTCCTGTGTCAGAGCATTGTCTGCTTGGCTGTTTTAATGCAAAGGACTTCTTGAGGAGGTGGCTAAAGTTTCATTTATTTTGCTTACTTTTTCCCTTCTACAGTGCCAGCTAAGAGATAGTAGGTTTAAAGTCTGTGTTGATGGGAATGGAGGTTTTCTGGCAGATTTCTCCTCTGGGGCAGCTGGAGCTTGTTGCAGAGTACAGTACAAGTGTGTCTGATTCCTTAGATAGCAACTGAAAAAACATGTTTGCAAATTGTCCTGTCTCCATTGACTGCAGCTATCTTACTGTAGAGGCCTTCAGTAGCATTGCCCTTCCCTTTTTGCCCATATTACTTTTAAAGCTGCCCACTTCCTTTAGTAAAAGCAGTCCCTGAGCCTTGACGAAAGCAGCGGCGTGGTGTTGTTCAACAGAAGCTATTAAAGAGTTGCTTTTAACAGTAAGTAGCCAGTGGCTGAGACTGGATCAAAGCAGAGCTAGTCCTCCTTCACTTAAAGTATTTTTTTCCTTTTCCCTGTCTTGAACTTCCATGTGACTTGGAAATAACTTGCAAATGAACATCTAGCTGTACACAGGGTATTGGGAAGTCTCCGTAGAAGCTGTGTTCTACTGCTCCTGTATTCCATAAGACACTATGAACATCACTCATACCGGCCATGTCAAGGATGCTAGTGTGAATAGGAGCAATAACATCCGTATAGTCAAAGATCCATTTTTAATAAAACCATCAGATTTTGTTAAAAAGGAAATGGATAAAATTAGTACTTATCCTACCAATATACTAGTGGTTAAATAAACTGCTACTGGTAGGCAGCATCAAATCTAAATCGGGCACTGAGACTTGAAAGATTGATGCAACAACTGTTAAATGGAAAAGAATATCCTTCAGCATTGGAGAGATTGTTTTGGTGCATGTGCATCGTTTGTTGCATTTGTAAAAAGTATACACTTAAACACAGGGTAAGAAACTGTCAAGATGATATAATGTTAATTACTTTATTATGCTTCTAAGTTAATTACTTTTTGAGTTATAATATATGGAAATAATAACCACTTTCCAAACATCTTTTGGCAATTCTTACACTGAGCAGAATTCAGTTACCCAAGTAATACAAAAAATTTGCTGCAAACTGTTTGAGACAGTGCGAGCAGTCTCTCTGTGTGCTGTGCAGTGGACATGAGGAGAATTGACTCCTCATTATGACACCAGCTGTCCTCTGCTCTCCCCTTGCCATTACTTGCAGGTGCAGCTCTCCATGTACCTCACTGCAGAGCCTTCGTTTGTCCTGTGTTATTCTTTGATGGCACACACCCTTAATAAATTTTCCCTTTCTAAACACCTGTAGTTATAGTTGGTTGAGAGTAGAAATTAATTTTTAGTTAAATTTAAAAATACTGTATTGCTTTCTAATGCATTCTTTAAATAGAAAACAACAGAACTCTCTTGTTGCTCTGTGGAAGAGCCACTCAAAAGATGAAGACAACTGATAATATCAGGAAACCGTGAGCTACTTACATACAGTGCTGATGCATATATAACGTGAAGAAATTTTTTTTTGAGCTCTTTTAGGTGTTTGTATTGTAGGTATAAGGCAGATGGTTTTAGAATTCTTTGCATAAGTTATTTTAAGTCATAATACTTGTAAAATTAATTTTTTCTGTTTTCACATCTGTGTCATGTTTTACACAGAGAAAAGGAAAGTGCTTCAGACAAATTATTTGTATTCTCACTATTGGGTTTTGGGTTTGTTTGGTTTTGGTTTTTTATTTCATACAGTGCAAATGTTTGTTCTGATGCTTAGTCTGAGGAAAACCTGGGTGAATAACTATGGATTTCTGAAACTAACTTGTATATTTTAGGTACTAGCAGTAGATGGCTCTCTTTTTATGGTTTTACTTGTTCTTAATTTAACCTACAGGCAAAGCTTGGAGATTATAGTTTTTTTGTGGAAGCTCACTATATCTTTAGTGCAGAGATTATTTCTTCTCTTGGTAGCTGTTAGAGTGCCCAAATGAGGATCACATGGATAGTTTGATATGTTTTTAAGAAGGTACTTCATCTATAACATAGGAAGGGTTTTGCACGTTGTTTGCTGGTGAAGGAATGCTTTGTTGTCTTTAGTTTTCATCACAGACCAAATTATTAATGTATGAGTTGTTTATGCTATGCTTCTGTCTATCTTGCTGGTTTTTTTTCTGGCTTTTTAATTTTGTACTAACTCAAAATGTTTTTTAAATAACTACCCTTTCTTTGTGAAAAATGGCCTTCCTATTGTTCTTTATCTAAGCTATATCTGCAGGGTTTCATAAGGTTTACTAATTATGTTCTAGAGTGCTTTAATGAAAGATTCTTGGCAAATTAAAATGAATGATCCTCTCCACATTGTGTAATTGAAGATTTCAACCTCAGATTGTAAATAGCATGGGCTTTCAAATATGAAAAATAATTTAATTTCTTTAATCTATTTCATCATGCATTTTATTCTTAAAACAACACTTTCATAGTAGGTGGTGTAAGTGTATTCTGTGGTTTGCAAACTACAGAATATTGCTGGTCCTTGCTACAAGCAGCATTAAAAAAACCTGCAAACATAAATCACCCAGATAATTGAAACTTGACTGCTTTAATCTTATCTTTTTTGATTAGTGTATAAAAATATTCATTAGATATGGAAAGAAAGGATGATTCTGTATAAGTGTATGCTTTAGTGAGAAAGAAATGGGAGGGTCGTTTTCCTTTGTAAATGGTGTAAGTAGAACGGTATATTGGAGCAAGATGTATAACAGAAGGAAGAAGACTGCAGAGAAGAATTGATGATGAAATAGGAGGTGAGGTTTGGAAAGAGGAAGTACAGCAAAGGGACTCAAACAGAATTAAATTAATGTTGGGAAGTGGAAAGTTAAAGGAAAAAATGTGAACTTGAAATGCAAAACCAGCACACACACACGTTTTAAATGTGAAAATTGCATCATCAAGTAGTGAGAGAAGAAAAGACTGTAGCAAACTAAATCAGAGGGGAGTGACTTTGGATTCCAGGGACTGGAAGATGCCTTTCTTTTCACGCCCGAAATACAGACAGGAAATGATAGGTTATTCAAAACTTGGGGGGGAGGGAGGGGAGTCCTTTGCTGTTGCAGAAGAGTTTGTGCTTGAGCTTTGTGATGCTTCGTGCATTTGCTCTGGAGGGAGAAAAAGGAGGAAAGAGGCAGAGAGAGCATTTGCATGCCTGCCTGGACACTGATGGCACTGACTAGACAGAAGGGGGGAAAAAAGGGGGGAGGAGGGGCAGGGAAGCAGCTGCCTGCTTTCAGTGATCTTTGCATGATGTTACCTGATAAGACCATGAGCTAAAGACATCGTAAGGAGACAAAACTGAAGTGAGAGCTCAAAACATGTGACTGAAAGATTGTCTTCCTGGAGATGGCAGCAGAAATTGTAACAACAGAGTGGATCAGCTGCTGAAACGTAGCGGGGACAGACGAGCTGAGAATGATAGAAGAGATATGCGAGAATTGCCTTTTTGCACTCTTTTTATGGAGAGTAATATAATGGAATTCTTTATGGTACATGTGATTTGTAATAAAATTAAGAGAACTTGAAAAGGTAGTGGCTTGCTGTTGAAATTGATGGATAATTGGTTGGATGAGGTTGTAAAAACGAAGTCAGAAATAAATTACTGGAAGTCGTGGTAATAAAAGAGATTCTCCAAAGACACAGAAGAGACAAAAGTATATTGCAGATAACCAGAAGATGATGGGAGGGCCTCTGGCATTTTAGAAAGCCAGTGACCATAGACAGAGCCCCAGGAAGGTAACACAGAGTTTACAGATACATGCATAAAAGTTCCAGGCATGGTAGTTAGTGTAGGGCTGCCTGATGTTAGGGTCTGATCTGCTGAAGGAGCTCCATCAGAGACAACAAGCCCAAAATCAGTGCAGAGACTGGAGGAGACATGCTTGAACAAAGACTGCAATTTTGTGGTAAAATATCTCAGGGAAGGGGAAACCTAGAGCAAAGTCATGAAGCAGTGAGAGAGAGTAATCTGCCCAAGAGATGCAGGAGAGGTTTTCCACACAGTCGATGTGAGCTACCAAAAGATATTGGAGACAGAATAGAGGACTGATAGAAATCAAAGGAGGTATCATATAATCACAGAAACCTGCAGGATCAAGAGTTTGAAGTGGATAGAGTGGAGTTTTATACTAGACCAGAATGACACAGCAAAGGTACTAATAAATAGGAATAAAAATACTAATAGGATCAAAGGGCTAAAAACCATTGGGATGGGAGTTGGAGGCAGCAAGAATGGACTCATCTTTCACAGTAAAGGCTGAGCTGCTGACGTGTGAGGGTGAAGAGGTTGCCAGATGCAAATGAGGTATTGGGAGGAGGAAAGGAAGAAGGTGGTAAGTGATGGAATGGTGGGTGGGGAAGAACTAGGTTTTGTCTGCTTGAAAGGAGGAAAAGAAAAGCTGCAGAGATCATTGCCACAATAAACCACTGAGAAACTAGCAGAGGGAAGAGGTGGGAACAAAACTGAGAGGAGGTCTTTGAGAGTTAGGAGATGGTGGAGAGGGAAAAAGGTGACGATATGTAGCTGTAAGTTAAAGGCAGAGCAGGATTTGGGGAGGGAAAAAAATCTTGTTCTTCCCTATCTGAAAATCCTAACTCATCAAGCCATGGAGAAGAACGTGGGTGTGGAGGGGGAAAAAAAGTATCTCGGAATGGCATGATCTGGGCGTGCACTAAATACCCAAGGGGGAAAAAATCAGAAACTGTTAAATGCCTAGACTGTAAAGAACGTAGTGGAAGAAAGGAGGAAATTTTTGTAAAAATAAATAAATAAATTTGGCATCCTGCGAAGTAACCTACTTTGGGTTTGAAGTGATCATTTATCCGCGTGGCTAGGAGGAGCCACTGGCATTGCAGCAATTTAGCTGTGCTCAGAAAGGGGTGGAAAAAAATTCTGTCTGCATAGACAAGAAGGAGTTAATGCTTGTCGAGCATTATTCTTATACAAATTAAGTCCAGAGCACAGCAGCAGCCTCACCAGCAGGAGCAGATGCTAGGCAGTGATGCAACCTGTGTTATTTACTTAGGCCTCTGTAGTGACCTCAGTGGCTTGCAGACAAAGGAGACACTTATCTGGAGGTAGGTAGCGTGCTGATACCTTCTTTATTCTGTCCTTTTTCTTTTATTGCAAGCAAGCTCCTGTAATCATCTTGCATGGAGCAACAGGGGAACTGTGTGTTTTCAGCATGGTTTCAGAAGGAGGGGAAAAAAGCCCCCAAAGAACTGATTCAAATGTAGTTTCTGGGTTTGTACCAATGTAACCAGGAACGTTTAGAAGCCATGATGCGTCGGTCCCTTGAACGCAGCCAGCAGCTGGAACAGAAGCAGAAGCGATGGTCGTGGGGAGGAGCACTGGCTGCAGGCTCAGGAGGGAGAGATGGTAAGTGAACCAGGCTGCCTGCATTGCAGATCTTGAAGTGCAAAATGCATGAGGTTGTGGAGATAGTAAGGATGATGTGTTTTATAGTTAGGGTGGTACTGTAGGGGCTACCGCCTTGGGGCGTGAATAAATGCTTTGTAATTGCTTGCTAGGCTTCCTCTCTCTAATACCTTCTGGGGAGAAAGGTCACTCCTAACTTTAGGAATGCAGATCATTTTGATAGAGTAGCCAGAATCTGTTTGGGGCATGCTAAATGCTAAAATTAAAATCTATGCTCTCTTCCTTATTCTCTTCCCCCGCATTGTCTTCACACACACACAGTTAGCAAATTTAATATTCACCAGAGGACTGACTGGGTGCTGTCTGAGCCCTGCAAAAGATGACCTGTTTTCGTTTGGTACTTCTAAAAACCTGACAGGAATTTCTAGATGACTATGCAGCATATGCAGTTTAAAATAGTTTGTTTTTTCCCCCCCACATACCTTTTGTTGCTGATCTTTTTGATTTGGCTTTAGAAAAAATTTTTTATTACATTATCAGTCACGTACTGCTTTTATATTACAAAAAGATGCATGTTTTCTGTTTTACATCATGTAATTTGTTTAAATTTGTCAGGTTTAAATAAACTGTTGTTATGGGGAAAAATACCCATGTTTGGGTGATGATTAAATATGACAGATGCTCTCTCTTAAAAAAGTGTGTAAATGTACTTAACTCTATAAAGGCAAACTGTTTCATATCATAGTTTTCACGGTATGCCATCAAAAAAGCCAGGAAATTAAATATATATGATAATAAAAGGCTCTTATACTTTAAGAAACCAGTTTCTTTGCAATGCATTTTATACTTAATTCCACCTCCCCCAACTTATTCAATAATTTCTTTCACCTCTTTTTGCTCTGATTTCTCTGCTGTGTAGGTGAATCAGAAAATACCCCACCCCCTGTTCTAGGTTTAGCTGCCAACACCCTTCCACCAGACCCTGTGACCTCTACTGCTCCTGCTGATTCCTTCAATGGTATTTCAGAGAATCACAGTGCCATCGTGTCTCACTTTTAACTGTTCTAATCACTGTAATCCATCCACTGATCTTGTCCTTCCTAACCACTGTTTTCTTATTATTTCAGTCTGGTACTCTTTGGCATTATCCCTATCGATGTGGATCAAATGTCTTTTTAATTTTGCCATAGTGGAGCAGTGCATGCCTCACATTCCAGCACAGTAGAGGCATCTCATGGTTTTCTCACTAACTGTAGACTTCTACCGCTCAGATTCTCATCTCTGTGAATTCTGTGGGCACTCTGTGTTTGTATGTGTAAATATAATTACACATGTATTTGACAGTTCTGATGGACATGCACAAGTGCAGATGCTGTTAAAAAAAATAAAATTCAGTTGTACAGTAAGAGAAAATAGGGAGATGGCGTTTCATCAAAACACTCCTCTTTTCCATCTCAAGGGCCTTTTTCTGCAGTATTTTAAGAACAAGCAAATTTGGTATAAACAGCCATGCTGTGTTTCCAGCCTCCTGAAGTGGATTTTGGCCAAGATGGTATTTGTAACAGATTCAAGTAGTTGACTTGATTTAGGCAATTGTATTCTGTTTTCTTTTATGTTGTTCTTGGGGTTTTTTTAAAAAAATTGTTATTCCCATAAAAGGACTGTGAAGTAGATGAGTCCTCCAAAGTTAAGACTAGATTGCATATAGGATTTCTAGTTTTGATTGCAAATGTACTTGGCATTTTGAAAACGTAACACAGCCTGTGCTTTAAGAACTAGGTTCCTTCTCTCCCCCAAAGGAGGAGCTAGGCTTGGAAACTACTCCTGCAAGAATGCACAGTAAATATTGTTCTGCCCACAGTCTCGCAAAACTATTATTTCTGTGCAGACAGATTCAAATTTTTGTACTAATTGCTACTCATGTTCAAAGAGGTTTGGATGGGCAATGGATGTTTTGCAGCATACCAGCATTGTACCTGCTTTTTTTTAAAACAGCAAATGTAGAGAATTGTGTTGAGAGAGAACAGAGAATCTTGCAGACCCCGCTGAAGCAGTGTTTCAATGGATGTAATAGGGAATGCAGTGACGTAGGGGGCTGCAGAATTAGGGCCACACATATCTCTCCAGCTGAAAATGTTTTTGTTTTTGGAAGAAATAAAATTCAAATTTAAGGGATAAAGCATCTAGGCTTTTAGCTTCTGAGCATCATGCAGTGATCATCATATAATAATACACTGTAGTAATAATTGAATAACATTTTTATGTTGTTCAGTTGAATAAATTATAAGGTAGGAGATAGATATTGTGCTCAAACAGTATTTCAGAAGACAAATGAAAGCACTTGGGGTAGTACCAAAAGCTTTAAAGCTTTTTTTCCTTTTTAAATATTCTCAAGCACAAAAGGATAAAGCCAAATGACTGGCGCTAGATCAATCATTAAAACAGCAAATTCTCATTGTTTGAACACTCAAATGTTGGTTATTTCATTTTTGTATTAGAATAATACCTGAGTTCTACCCCAGCTCTTCCAGACTGAAAGTAAAGGGGAAGGGGAGCAGAGATGAGGAGTAGAGAGTTGTCATGTGTGCAGTTTCTTTTAGGTAGCTTCCTGCTTGTGCTGATATTGAATATTTTTTAATCAGAATGGGTTCACTCATTCAGACCTGATTTGCCTGTGGCAGTGTAAAAGATAGGCTGTTATAAAACTGAAATGTTAAATTCACAAGCAGAAAAGTTACATCCCAAAGCATGTCTTCTAAAATGCTGGTCTTCCAGCAGTCAGAAAGAACTTCTTGTGCCTTACTCAGTGAGGTATGATCAGTGGCAAGGGCCAGGACTACAAATGCGAGGTTAATTTGGGGAGTTTATCAATACTGTGATGTGAATACAAATATCTTCAATGCGTCTCTCTGCAGCATGTGACAAACTTTCAGCTTCTACAATGAATCTGCCAAAGCAAATGGAATCGCCAATCAGTAAGCGCCTCTCCTCCTCCACAGCGGCAATAACACATTCCCCCGACAGAGGCAAGTGAATATGCTGGTCTCCTACCAGCATAAACTCTCCTTCTGCTTAAAGCACTTCTTGTCCATATAGCTATGTAACTTGCTTATGTCTAGTATTGAAAAGAACTCAAACATCTGGGAAGGTTGTAAGTTAATACCATAAAACAGTTCTGCAGCCTGTCCCAAGACTGTGCTGCCATGCTGGAGATCCCAGGCCAGCAACAAATCCTGTGGGTTTTTTTACTGATTCATTTTCAGGTTTTGATACCCCAGCAAACAGGGTTGGAAGTACATTTGGCGACTGCAGCAATTTCCTATAACTGTGCAGCTCGTGTTCTTCTAGCCAAATAATGAAAAACAAGCAAACCAGACATGTGGCTTGACAATAGACGTGGGGTGTACCATGGGCAGAACTACGTCTGATGAGCCAGCTGGGAGACTTCAGTCTTGTGATCAGAGTTGTAGAGCTTTAATTTTATTTGAAACCCTGTTCCATCAGAGGCTCAGGAAAAGATGATCATCTTGCGGGATTAGTGGTTGCTGAACGCTATGGAGAGGACTGAAGGGTTTACCCCACTGTGAACTCTTTGGATTTTTTTCGTTTGTTTTGTGTGTCTTTTTTCCTTTCCCTCCCTTTTTTTAAACTCTTAATGAGCAAAAAAATAATTACTGAAATATGTGACAGCTAAGGCTTATTTCTAGAAAGAAGAGAGAAGGTAAATTTTTCATTTCTGAATTTTGTAATGAAAACTCATCAATAGTTTTGGGGTTATTATGATAGATGGCTATATATATGCATGTAATAGGAACATCTATAACTATAATTCTTGCATAGTTGATACTTGCAGGGTAGGAAAGATTGCAGGCATAATGTATAAATAAGACTTATATAATGCAGTGAGACTGCAAATTTTAAATGCAGTCCCAGTATGGTTGGTACAGCGGTGAGTAGCTGTGCTGTTACAGTAAGTGTTTCACCTTTTCTACTGGGGATAAAGGCAAACCTTTTTCATGCTGAGTCATGAAAGCAACCATTTTGCAGACTGGAATAGGCCTCTGTTTAGGAACAAAATGCAACACGGTCCTAACCTTATTATATTTATTGTACAGGTGGGAAAATAATTTACAATGATGGAGGAACGAACTAGAAACCTTTTTTCAGTGGGGATGAAAATTATCTTTAAATACTTTAAATTTCAAACACTTCAAGATTTTTTTCATTTCATTTAATCATTTCATAGTTTTGTTTCAGTTATTTTAGTGTAATGTTGTTTTATTTCTTTGCATTTTAAATTTTATTTTTGCTCCCATCCTTCAGCTCACCGCATGCATCTTAGTCCCATGGAAAACTTTATTGTTTCTCGGCTGCTGACTCCCACACAGTCATCTTTAGCCAGAAGCAGAAGTACATTAATGCTTTCTGAGCAATACAATAATCCAGGTAAAACCCTGAATTACTCACTTTGAAACCGTTAAGGTATGGTTTTGGTTGCATTGAGTAGTTGCTGAAAGTAATGGAGTACTATGAACCTAATGAGGATTTACATGAAAGTACAGAATCAACGATGAGCTAAGTTGCTTATGATAGCAGTGTTTTTAAAAGCTTGAAAAAACACATCAACTTGTCTGTCTTGTTCTAAGCGTCTTTTTAAAAATAATATAGTATTAAAAAAATCAAAAACCACAACAAAAAAAATAAATTTACAAAATTACTAAAACCTGTCAGTGGAAAACTCAGTTTATTCATTTAGGAAACAGTGTTTTAGACTAGTGTCTGACACCTCAGAGGCTTTATTTGATATGTCAATGTCATCCTCTTTTATACCCAAGTAGTATGTAGAACAAAAATCCCAGTGCACTATTTGAGCCTTAATTATTTTTACTAGACTTCCAGTTCTTAACTAGAGTTCCACGCTGTTAAATTGCTTTTTGCTTTTAACCGTGTGACTGTGTGTGTATTTATATATATATATATAGATATATGTGTGTGTGTGTTTATACACATATAAAATAATACTTATTTAGAGCAAAAACCAGAAACACTGATGGGAAGGTGTCAGTTCCAGAAATAATTGATCTTTAAGAAACTAAAAATGAGGGCTGATAGTTACTGTACTTATCTGTAAATGGCAGTCTAATAAAACAGTTATTTTGCAAACATCTACAAAACTAATGTTTCGAGTCCCGCTAATACTTAGGTAAGTGCCTGACTTCCAGCGTAGTTTCTCCTTATGAAGCTGTACCTACTAATAGTGTTTGCTGAAACAAGGACAAAAGTCTAACAGGTTTTTTTTTTACTTTTATTGAAAACAAACTTACTAAAAACCAAATCCCACACCCAAATTTCTGTCTGAAAAAGGAAATGTGTTTTTCAGAGTAAAACTGGTTAGACAGTATAAAACTGATCATCTTTATGATCAGTATTTTCATATAGCATGGCTGAAATAGATTCAGGTCCTGCAACTGTGCTTTTAACACAAAGCTATATAAAAATTAATTACAAAGTAAGCTTACTTTCCTTTGTGCATTACTACTTTGTTGCAGTGCATAGGGACATCGGTTTTGAATGACACTGACATTCTTTCCCTTGTTTCTACATTAAAAGCAGCATCTGTTGGAAGCAGAAACGCTGTCATACAGTACTTGGCGCATGAGAAAATTCCCAGTTTACTTACTGCTCAGGGATTAACTGCTGAGACTGAACAAAAGCCAACTTGAAATTAGATTGGTATATTCTGTTTAAGATTTGGAGGTGAATTGCTGGGGCCACCTACAGATGTTGTTTTCTATGTTGTATTTGCTATTGGAGAAATCAATAGGGACTTTCTTTGTCTGTCCCCACTTGTTTTGTCTGTCATCTCCCAGCTTTATCTCTCTGTTCATGGCCAGATCTTTAAAGTAGCGTGCTGGCATGTCTGACAGTACAGTTTAGTCTGCAGATTGCTTTTTCCCCCTATGCTGAACCAGGAGTGCTGATTCTGGGAACAGCTCTCTGAACCAGCATCCTCTTGTCATTTCCTCGCAAGGCAATCGGGCTGTAGCACAGGTTGCAAACAGCATCAATATTCAGAGTCGCCGTTGACAGTTTTGCCAGTAATTGCCAGCTAAAGGGTTGAGGGAGATCTCCCATTTGTGGTGTACTTCTCTCTGTAGAAGTAGTTTCCTGAAGAGGGAAGAGGGTTATTCCTTGTCAAGAGCTCATGCCGTGCCTCATGTAATTGATTCTGGGTCAAAATTGCTCTGCTCCTGCACTTTCTGTAAGCTTAGAAGTGAGGAGTCTCAATTTAAGACTCTTTCTCTAGGGCAATGCAGTATTAGTGTTACTCTGAGTCAAGATATTCAGGCAAACAGTTGTTATTGGACCCATATAATAATTTATTTTTTACAGTAGAAGTAAAAATACTTAAGCAGCATTTAATTTACGAATTTTTTTTCTTAATATTCAGTGAACTTTTGCCAACTTGTTGGAAAGTCAGTCACGTAATACACAGGTCCAGTTAAACTTAAAAGCATACAAAAAGGCTTCATAAGAAATTTTATAGGACTGCCCTCAGAAAAAAAACATGTTGGAAATTCGAGTACCTCTACATTTTAGTGTAGTTACTACTTTTCCAAAGTCAATATCCTTCTTGACTGCAGTTGAATAAAGTTGGAAACACACTGTTACATGGTTACAATTAGTATCTTTCTTATTAATAAACCATATACTCTGCTGATTGTTCTGTATGTGTGTGAAAATTTCATCGTAGAAAGCAATATGAACAAAAGCAGGAGTAAAATATCCCATTTAAAAAAAATCCTGTTCGTATTGCAAATAAATTAAAAAATACCTAGAAAGATTTGGCCCATAAGCTGTAATCCTTGTGTTGCACTCAAACTTGTCTGCTGCAAATAACAGTAACTGACATACCTACAGCAGCATTTAGTTTTGGGTTTTTGTTGTTGGGGTTTTTTTTTAAATTAAATACTATTTTGAAAAGCAATTACGGTATTTAGAAGCCTTTGCTGTGTTTAGGCTTTTTTTAAAAAAAAAATTTCTATTCTGTCACCTTTCCTGTTTTACAGTATTTGTTCAAAAATCACCCAACTAGAATTGTTTGATTACTCTTTTTATCATATGCAAAGGAAGCTGGACTTTTCAGAAGAAAAAAGATCACAGTCATAGTCAGGTGATTCAAAAATTACATGAGTGAGAGAGCAATATTTTTAGAGATAACTTTAAAAATATTTAAATCCTATAAAATGTTGCTTTCAGTTGGGGCATTTTTGGTAAATGTGGGACCATGTTGAATGTGTTCTATAATGTGTTCTTTTGAAATACTTTTTAAAAAAAACCTTGAAAACTACCTTTGAACATTATAACATAAAAGTATGCTGTTTTTTCCTCTCCTTTACTTCCTCTGTCTGTGCTCCCTTTTGCTCTTGCTATTGTGCTATAACTCTTTAGTATTCCATATCTGTCCTCGTGTAGCACCAGCTAGTCCTCTTAAATCTCCCTACAAGCCTTCCCCCACCCGAAGCACTGACAGAAAGAAGGCAACTTCACCTTCCACTTCTGATGCCATGAAAGGGGTGGCTGCAGCTGAAGGTACTCAGGTGGGTTTGTGATGGTTTTGATTTTGCTTCTGGGTAAACTGACGCAACTTCTGGTTGTTATCTTTCCCTTTACATTCATGAAAATAAAGTGCTACCCCTGTTGTAAGAAACAGCAGTAAGAAAGTAAGCCTTGCATGCATCTCTTGCTTTTGTGCTCCTGTTTAGCAGTATTTTCATATCTTCTTCCTCCTGGGAATCAGTGTTGAGAGCTGGTATTTGGAACAGCAACATTACAGCAACATTATTTTCAGGGAACTGAGATTTCTGCTGCTGGTGTGTGTTTCTGGACTTGCCTGTAACTTCTGGGAATGGGGATGACAAATAGGATCTCTCCACTGAGTATGACTATCCAGTCTTACTGGTTGATTAGCAAGCTTCACGTATTTCGGAAACTTGCCAAGTGTATTGACGATGCCTCTGTTTTATACCAGTTGCTTAACTCTTTCTGTGGACCCTTAATACTGTTTGCTTAAAAGATGCATTGATCCACTGTAGTTTCCAGAAAAGCAAAGGCAAGTCATTCCCCTTCACTGAGTCCAAACAATATAAGGCATGTTTTAAAAATTTATACAAGGGCTATGAAATTCACATAAGGTCCTTTGTCTTGTAATAGTTAATAGTAGGAGGATTCATGCCATCTAAATTAGAAGCTCTCATCTAAATGAGAGGGTGAAAGCTGGAAGCTGAAGATTTGTCTTTCTTAAATGTGATTCACAGTGTTACATCCAGCAGCATTGCTGCGAAATGCCTGCTTGTGCTACTGACCATGTCTTAAGAATTGTTGCAGGATCATATAGATGATTTTGAAAACTCCACCCAGTGTCACCACCCCTCCCAAGAACTCTTGGAGAGGCTCTGGTGTGGTATTACTTATCTGCAACTTGTATACTATGTCCATGCAAGACATGGTTGGATTTTTTATGCCTGTGTAAAATAAAAAACTAAGCACCTCATTTGTCAACTAGTGTTTAAAAACATTTTATCTTAGAAGTCTGTTACACAAATCTGTTTATGTGCAATCTTGTTAATAAAACTATCAAATATTTTTTGATGTATTGGTCCTAATTATCTATACTAAAATGAACTGTGTTTCTAGACTGAGAAGATAAAGAAAGAGAAGCGACCCGCAACACCTGGTTCATCATCTGGTATGGGATCTCCTCTAAGAAGGTCTGATTCTCCTGCTGCCATGTCCAGAAGATCTGCATCACCTGCAACACCTAAGTATGCCTTCCTTATTAGTGGTCCAATATGCTCTGGGCTTCTTATTACCTATAAAGGAAACATAAATTCTTGAGGAACTTCCTTTGAAGTGTTGTGTAAAATATAGTTAATTTTAGTTATACATATACACACATATACAGATGGAGGGAGAGAGCAAGACATAGATCAACAGATATATGTGTAAAATTGTATTAGTGATCACTAGAGACACTTCTCTGCCTTTCTCAGTCTTTTGAAATTATCATGGGGCATTTTATAATTAATGTGAAATTTTATTTAACATTTATTTTTAACATGCTTTTATTTTATTTGGTTTTGAAGAAACTCCGCCTAATATGAAGAAATGCTCAGAGCATGAAAACTAACTAGAAATTCCAGCATTTAAAATATGCATTTGCTGTTGCTGGCATGACCATCTGGTTCCGTGAATGTACTTAACTATGTGTCATCTAAACCATTGGGTTTCATCTTTGCTTATTTGCAGATCTCTGTGGGTTTATTGCTTTTTGTTGGTGGCTTTTTCTTCATGCAGAGTTGTGGACCTAGAGCATATCTGGGCTTACTAGGAATTGAGTTGCTTTTCTTAGTTGTCTTTTGCAGACACTCAAAACTGTAAGTCTGTGCACCACAGCTTGCAACTCACAAGTCTAAGCAAATGCATCTTCAGCTTTCTTAGAGCAGGATATTAAGGCTCAAATGCAGAAGTATGCTAGAGTAGTCATGGTCTACAGTAGTTGTCTGATTTTTTTCGTCGTTGTTTTGTTTTGTGGGGTTTTTTTTTCCCCTAGACTCTGTTTGTGGGTCCTGTTTTTGTCTGATTTTATTGATCTTTTTTTTTTTTTTCCGAAGTCTGAACCTGGCCACATTCTGAACCAGTCTGGGTGATCCCCTTTCTGACAAATTTCTTGTGCTTCAAAAACTAGCTGATGTTCCTTTTCTGTTTCAGCTCTGAGTACACAACCCATTAATGGAGGATGATTTTGTGTGTGGATCTAGTGTTAGGCAAAATACAGGAAACCATCTGACTCTGAGCGTTCTTTCCGTTTTAGACATCCCTTGCATGCAACTGGGAAATTGCAATTCTTGGTTTATATTGCAGGGCTACAAATTCTCAGACTTTCAATATAATGTCGTCAGATTCTGAACTACGTAAATTTTGTGAAGAACGGAACGATACAAAGTGTTAATGACAGTCAGCTTTTTCATTACAGTTTTTAGCAGTCCGGTGGCACTCCAAAATGTACAGAGAAAAGTTTGAGCTATACTAATGTATATTATTCTGTAAGTACTGATATTCCCTGTTCAGAATGCATCCTTCAGTTCACTCAGTCAGTATGAAAGACATAACAAGAGACGTATTTAGTTAAGCAAAATGATTAGTGGGAAATGGATTTCTGAGACGGGCAGACATTGAAAAGGTTGGTACAGCATCATAGACACATCTGTGGAAAAAAATAAAAAGATTTTGTGAAACAGATGTTTAGTTCTTCATGAAAAAAGTATGCCCAGTCTTAATTTGTAGCACTTTTTTCCATAAAAGGTTAGGCAAAGATGGAGACTTTTTTTCCCCCAGAGGTGCAAATTATGAGAACCTTTTTGTAGTAAAATATTTTCATGCCTACAAGGAATAAAACCTGCGGCTTTTAGAGGAAGAAGCAGATGTTGCATGGAGGAATTAAGAAGCCTATTGGTGGGTTTTTCTGTCATTATGAGCCACAGTAGTTATCTTTTTTCTTTTTTTCCTCCCCATCTTCCTCAAGAGAATCTGATTCTGACCACTGCTGGAAATGTATTACTGAGTATTTAATCTCAGCGTGGCCCAATTAGAACACCCTCCTTGACCTTACGAGAGTTACAGTAAATACAGTTTAAATCCATCTTTATTACTGATTGCATAAAGACAGTTCTGCTTCAGCACTCTTGAAACTTCCCTGCAGAAATTTAAAATAAAATAAAAAAGATGTCCTGATCACCATATTATACTATTATAGAAAGATATGCATATCTTCATATAATTCAAATGACAGATAGCAATCTAGCTGATCAGTGGATTTAAGTACAGGCAGTCAGGCTTTTGGAAACTTCCTTTGGATTGTATAATCTTACCTTTTATTTAAAATTAACTGTGGAACATAAGTATAATTTTAGTGTGACTAAATATGTAGACAAATACTCATTCTCCTCTCAAACCTGACAATCCTTTACAAGTTTAATCTTTCTCCTTCCAGCATACCATATGGCCAAAAAAATACCCTGGAATAAATAAGAATATGTCTTGTACAGCATTAGTAGTTAGTGATCCCGCATAGCACCTTAATTTCGAAAGCTGTTGAGGAAAGAATCAAGTATGGCCAGTGATTTGGATGATCATTAGCTGTATCCATTTTTTCTTTTTAAAAGTATGTGACTTGACATTCAGGTTTTCTTGGTATTGTTCTAGTTAGTAGTTCTTCACAGTCATCATCATCTCGGTTTGTGAGTGGTATTTGCTTGTCTTCTGTATATGTTATTTCATTATTTATTAATTAAAAAGCTCTTTTTACCATAGTAAAGTAAATGAAACAGGCTCAAACAAGACAATCTAATTTCAACCTAAAAAGAGAGAGTGATTGATGACAGAATAGATTCTCGGTGATTACATAAATAAAATACAAATGTTTGAACATGCAAATTTTACTGAGAAAGCAAAAAAAGATCAGCCCAAAAACATAATGTCCAAGACAAAATGAATAAACAAATATGGACCTAAAAAGGAGAAAAGGGAGGGGGGAAAATATGTTGAGCAATAATTAAAAGCAGGAAAGGAATTCAAAGCTTGAAGATATTTGAAAAACTAAATATATCAAGAAACATCACACAAGAAAGCAACTCAAAACTATTGAATCCAGTATGGATTGCTTTGAATCCAGCGTGGATCAGTTGACAAAGATGGAAATTTAATGGATTAGAGAGCTGGGATAATTGAGAAATTATCTTTTATTTTTGCAAGTTCTATTGGGTACTGATTGTGTAAAGTGCTCCTGTTCTTCAGTTCTTTCACAAGATCAATACTACTAAGGTTTTTTGGTCATTTTTTTTATGCTTTGTCTTCAAACATCTATACATTAATCAATTTATTCTTGCATTATCCTTCAGAGAACAGATAAGTGTCCTATCTTATAGATCGGCAAAGCAGTGAAGCCCGTGTCCTTCACGGGTCTTTGGGTCCATAGTCCCTTTGAAATCAATGGGACCTGACTGATTCAAGGAAGTAGGATTTAGTTGTAAATGTCTGCAGATAAGCCATAGTATAAGGCAGTGAATAAAAATGGAAAGCTCTGACAAGCCTCTATGTTACTTTTTTTTTTACCAAAGTATTACTTCATATGAGGAGAAAGAGGCAAGGGGGGAGGAAAGAGACTGCAGCACTGCTGGTGGGTGATTCTTCATTTCCAGTTCCCAGTCTGTGTCACTGTCTTTTGCTCACAGTTTTACTAACTGAACCCGTAACTTAGTGATTCTTTTGGACGACATCCCACTGCAGCTATTGGGACACACTTTGATGTCAGAAATCTACATGCTCAATCAAATTACAGAATACTGATGAACCTAGAGTAGTACAAAAAAGTCCAAACTTCTAAAAGTTTTTAAAACCACCTATTAGAAAGGTGTCTGCATGGGGTGAATTCCTCACAGAGGTAGTTCCTCTGTCTGCAGTGACCTAGTTTTAGATTTGATTTCGTATGTGCCACACTTACTACTCTTGATCTTTATTTTGCCTTGGAAAAGATAAAAACAGTGGGTATAATGTTGGATCAAGACTATTTTGAGGGTTTTTTCAGCAGCTAGCTAGACAATAGGCCGATTCAAGATTTTGAAAACATCTGTAATCATGCAGCTATCAGAATAAATATTCTATAGACCGATGCTGAGTTTGTGCTCTTTTAAGAAATGTAGAAGAGAAATTAATGTGTCTCTGGCTAGAAAAGATCAAAACTGAGTGAAAGAAAACTGCTTTTGAGAAAATCTCACAGATAGCAAAGCAAAAATGTCAGAACCCAGGAACAGCTTGTGATCAGAGCAATGTCAGAAAGCAGGCTTGAGAACATACAGATCTGTGTTGTGGCCACAGCAGAGCTTTTGTTGAATTAATAGGGAGAGAGAGGAATAAAATAATGCAGGTCTGGCATTGCTGCAGATTTCTGATTTAGTCAGGCCTTCTGAACTGTTGTAACTGATGACCTGTCACATACCTGGCTTTTCAAGAAAGCATGCTGTTCTCTCCCTTGCTTTATGGACAAAATTGGATGTGACCTCTGACTCATGTTCTACATGTACTTTATTTTCTGTGCTCAGCAAAAGTATGCTCAGAACCCCTCTTGTGCTCTTTGTGAGACATTCTTCTGCAATATGGACTATCCCTGCGATTCCCCTTTTAATTAAATAAAAACCATTGTAGTATAAGGACCAGTGGATCCTCAGACCTGATGGAGGTTCTTGCAGAGCATGTAGAGGTCATGATGAGAGTGGCTTATTTTATAAGCTGCTGCCCCCATGTCAACACAGGGCGGTTAGGTGAGAAAACTAAGACCTCCTGGAGAGAGGAAGATGCTTCTTGTACGTGTGTATTTCCCTGTAAAATCTAGTGACTGAGATGAGCCAGCTTTCACACCACTAACTTGCTACCAGTTCTTGGATTCTGGGGAGTTGTCATCTTAATTCTCTGATCCTCATCAGGCACACTTCTGTGTTCACACATTCTTACCAGGGTTTCATTACATCCCTTTCTGTTTCTCCCAAGGCAGAAATCAAACATTTTAAAAACCTAAGCAGACCCCTATGTGAGTGTTTATACACTTGCCCTTAATAATCCCATTTTTCTGTCTTCAGTCTCGTTTAGCCCTTTCTGGTAAAAAGTAGCAAAATTTAAATACTATTAGAAGGAGTGTGTTTTTTTCCAGTAACAGTTCTGCCTGTGTCTAGGAATATTAAAGATGCTAAGTTGATAATATGTTTTAAATACAAGGAGAAAAACAGTGTTAATTTAATACTTCATACTGGCATCCAATAAATGATTTAAAATTTCTGAAAAAATATTCTTATTCCTGATGGACTTTCTCAGCTTTTCACTCCTCACACTGCACTGTTGTCATCCTTGCCATAATCAGTCTTTTATATGCTTCTCCCTTTTAGTTGCTTTAAAAGAAGCAAAACCATGCTTATTTCTTGTTCTTCTGGCCAAAGAGCTGTAAGAAAAAAATTCTGTAGGTCTAAAAGTTCAAAGATGCTTACTTAAATAATGGATTCAGCACGTGTTTCCAGTCCAACAGGTAGGTTGTACAGCCAGTCTCCTTTAATTCCTACCCAGTGCAAGATATATAGCTCTCAAGACTAGACTCTTTCTTACCAGCCTCTTTAATTTGATTGTCATGTCTTTATTAGAGAACAATTACTTCTGTGCTAATACTGAAAATGAGTCAGCCTTAGTTATGTGGCTGTTTTGTTCCTCCTGTCACAACAAGTTGGATAAAAAACACTGCAAGGAATGTGTGGTAAAGTTGGAAACGTAAACCAAAGACAGCAAGAAGGGACTATTCTTTGAAAAAGAATCTGATGAGCAGGAGGCATTGTCCATGCTGCAGAGAAGCATAAGAACGGTTGTTTGCTTTTTATTTACATATTGTATTTTTATGAAATGCAGTTGGAAATGGCTGTAATGGTGAGGCACATGTGAGATGTACGTATGTAGGTGGGGTCTTGAAATCTCTGCCTTCGTCTTTAGGAGGGCCTGGGAATCTATCTATATCCCAGAGAGAAAACTGAAGACTGCTAAAACCAGATTTGGTCAACACCAACCAATCTCATTGCCTTCTCCCATTGCTGTTTTTATAAGAGCTGGAAACAGACTTGCCTGTCCACATCTTCCAAAGCCTATTTCTGTTAGGAAGCAGAATAGGAGGCTGCTCCTATTGCAGAGCAGGAGCAGGCTGCCCTGCAAGGCAGGGCAAGCCAGGAGCCATGGGTGGCAGCAGGGCAGACAAGGAAAGGTACCTCACCTGTAGGACCCCATCCTGCAGCAGACAAAAGAAGTGACTAGGGCAGGTCTGGTGATTGTGACTAGGGTCAACCAAGAGTTCAATGATAGCCAGCAAAGGCCTTGAAGCAGGTCCGAGGACAAGCCAGAACGTCAGGTCAGGATCAGCAGGTTAGGGAGGCCAGGAACAGGCGTACCTACAGCTTAGCTCTGACAAGGACCAAGGGCAGGGACCTCAGCTGACAGGGAACTCCTGGGCCTGCAGGCAGAGAGTACCTGAGCTGAACTTCAAATGTAATAGGGTGCTACTGTTCCACCAGCCCAGGGGCTTTTGGAGTCTGTGATGGCTCTTCAGTGGGAACAAGAGAGTACAGGTGGTGCAATACTCTGCAGTCTTTTCCTTCCCACTGACTGGGCAGCTCTGAATGAGCTCCCAGTATTCTGGTGTCTCAACCTCTTTCAAATGCAGCATAATATGGTGGGAAAAAAACCCTTTCTTCTCCCGAGTTCTTGAATTGGAGAGGAGTTGAAAGACTCTTAATTTTTATTGTCTGCTCTGTAATGCAAATGCTGTTCAGGTTATAATAGTCTCTGGCCACACAATACTATAGCTAGATCTATACAAATCTTTCCACTCCAGTCCATTAATTTTCAGCCACTGTTCATGTTTTTCATGCTTGTGATCTGCCAGAATGAGTTTATAGTCCAGAAAACATGTTATAGTATATGAAACTCTACATTGTGGAGATGAAAAAAGTGAGAAGGTATAATATGTTTATATCATAACTGCATATCCATGAGGAAGGCTAAAACTACATGTGTAATATTGACTTTACTGCAGGATTGTTTCTTCTAATAGGACTCACATAAGTCATTTTAAGATTATAATCTCTTTAATTCCATACCACATAGTCACATAGCCCAGCCTTTCTTGATGAGTATTTAGTGCTAGTTACTGGTGTTACATAAATAATGAATGGTGTTTGTGTGTAGTTTTGTGTTTCCTCGTAATCTGTTCTCTTGAACGTGCACATATTTTCAGTGCGTATCGAGTATCTTTTCCCTGCTGCTTTCCCAGAACTGACTTCAAGGTTATTGTTTCACCTAAAGTATGCAACAGCCAAATGACCTGTCAGCTGCCTTGCTGCTGTGTGTTGCCATCACAAGTGCAGCTGTGTAAAAGTTTGCAGGGGCTGAGTTTTGGGCCTTGAGTCTGTTGTGTGGGTGCTGATTAAAGTGCTAACTGAAACAGTGGAGCTGGCTGTACAAATGTTTTGATCGTTTCTGTCTCTTTTTGTGGTGCTGAGCTTTACCTTGGTACATAGTAGTATTGGTGCTAGTTTAGAAAATCAAGAACTACTAGAAAAAGATCATGTTTGAGAAGGCAGTATTCAGAAGAAAGGACCACACTGCAACTCATTATAGTTGCTGCAGACAGAAAACAGCCATAGCTTTCCTTTAAATTTTGAGAAGGACTATTGAATACAGTAATGTTGAGGAAATTGTTATGAAATGGCTGCTACAAAAATAATTAGTTTTAGGTAGTCCATGAACTCTTATGTCTTTCCTACAACTTGAAAAGTATTATTGATCTTTTTAAATGAGAATTTTCTGTAATTGTTTGCACTTTCATGCCAGTTCCCCACATTTCAGGTTCCGATTGCTTGTGTCCAGGTGGTTTCTCTGCAGTACTGTGCAAAACAACTAATACTTGTGTGTAGCCAGAGACAAGAAAGAGGCGCGATATGTGTGAATATGGAGTTTGATTCCAGGCTGGTAAGGTATGGTCTGTTTTGATTTTCGTTTTGTTTTGTTTTCTCTCATCAGGACAGTTGCAAAGAACTACCCTCAGTCTCCTAAAAATGCCAAACAATATCCAGCTTCTCCTGTGAAGCATCGTGCGGCTTCTAATCTTACCCAGGAGACTCCTAAAAAGAAGGCAGAAAAGGAGAAGGAAAATGTCAGTTATCAAAAATCCCCGGGTGCGCGCGCTGATGAGGCAGGCCAGGCGGCTTCTGAGAAGCACCTGCCTTCTGCAGGGAAGGCTGAAAATAACGAAGGTGAGTCTTACTACGAGAATCAATTGCAAGGTATTGTGGTTTCCTGAGGCTTTTAAACAGTGATGAACTGTTCTTTTCATGAAGCTGCTCAGTCAGTCACGGGCTTATGAGAATGTGTAAAGGTACATACTGCAACCAGTAATTATATAGTTTTCACCAGGGTTACCCATGTACAAAAAGCCCTTACCTGTTCCATATTGTATCTGCTGAAAATGCTGAGGATTGTTTTTGAAAAGCAAAGGTGTTGTACCAGCATGCACCAGGGCCGTTTTAGTCTCTGTGAGATTATGGAAGCGCTGGGCACTCTCTCTGTTCCCTGCCTAACTTTCCACCCTTGATTGTCTTCGCCTAGGGAAGAACACAGCAGGAACAACTGATGCAGAAGAAGCTTCAAAAATTCTAGCTGAGAAAAGACGACAGGCCCGCCTGCAAAAAGAACAAGAAGAAAGGGAGAGACAGGAAAGGGAAGAACAGGAGAGGTATCTGTATTGATTTGTGAAAATTATTACCTAACAATTTAACCTGTATCACTGAAGATGCTTGAAACTGGTAGTTCTAGAATCAAGGTGGGAGCTTACACGTAAGTGTTAATTTGTTTGAGTTCAGACCCATAATTCATTAGTGTCTTTTGCAGTCTTTATGACTAGTAAAGTTAGAAAATAATAATTTGACCTCTTTAAGAAGCCTAATAAATTATTACTCATCAGAATACTTCAGGTATGTCCATACACTGCAGTATGGACATACTTGAAGTATTTTACATTGTAAAAATATTTGAGGCAGTTTTAAATGGGCTAGTTTATGTAAAAGAAACAGTCTTGCAGTAGTAGTATATGCCTTAAATGGCAAGGCTTGTATCGTTTGACAGATTAACCTGAAGTTCATCTCCCTGCCCAACTCTTTTGTAGGCAGTTGGGGATTTTAAGTGTGAGCATAATGAAGGTTACTGTGTCTAAGCAGTGAAATTCTGGCTGTGTTCCAGGAGCAAGCTTTTAGGGTTGTTCTCCATGTTGTATGCTGGTCACAAGTGTCAGCAAATCATGCCCTTCCTTCAAGCCTCTAGTATTAAATCACTAACTCTGCGTGTCTAAATGCAGCTTTGCCTGTTCTTATTGAAAATATGGGGGTGGGGGGGGAGGTCACCAATGCCTTCCAGTTTGGCCCAATGGAAATATTTTCTGAACACCTGATATTCAAGGATAAGAATGATCAGTTGTCAAAGCTGCTTTTGAATGTGGTGACTGACAAAGGAGCATGATGTCCCTGAGTGGGCCAAAAAACAACTCAGGTGGAATTTAGATCCACTCTTTCTAGCGTACTACTGTGTTTTGTGGACTTTGCTGCTACTCATCCAATCTGTTTACTTTCAGCTGAAATTAAGGAAAAAAAGTACTTGCTTGTTTATAGATACCAGCATCCGGGGTGTGAAATACGGAGGAAGAGAGAGATGTTTTTATTGTTGAAACCTTTATTATTGAAGCTCTAAGTGACAGTAGAATGGAAATGTTTTCTTTTTCTTTGATCACACCTGTTTTTTCAAGGAAAACTATAATTTCTAGGAAATATTTTAGGCAGTGAAAATAAGATTGGAATAGAAGTTTGATAGCAACCTGAATTCTGAGCACGTGCTCAACCTGTTTCTGTATTTTGGCATTTTTTGGGAAAATGTGTGCTGGTGCATATATTATCAGTTATGGCTCACTGTATGCCATACATACAATAGGATCAATGCTGAACAAGATGAAACCTTTTAAACATAGTATGCTTTTTACAGACTTGAAAGAGAAGAACAGAAAAGAAAAGCAGAAGAAGAAAGACTTCGTCTAGAGGAAGAGGCTCGTAAGAAGGAGGAGGAAAGAAAACGTGAAGAAGAAGCAGCTAGAAAAAAGGCAGAAGAGGAAGCCAGGAGGAGAGCAGAGGAAGAACAAATGCTAAAAGAAAAGCAAGAAAAAGAGCTCCAAGCCAAACTTGAGAAACAGGTACCATCTCAAACACAAATGTGAAACTTTATATACATATATATGTATACTTATCTTTATATATACATATAAATAAATACCTTATAGTATCTGCTTGAAATAAATAATGGTCCTATCGTATTTTACACATTTTTATTAGAGGGAAGAAGCGGAAATCAAAGCCCGTGAAGCAGCTGAACAACTTCGTCTTGAAAGGGAACAAATCATGCAGCAAATTGAGCAAGAAAGACTGGAGCGGAAGAAGGTAGATATTTGCATCTCATTTAAGATAATTATTTCATTTCTAGTTTAAATACATAACCCAGGAAGCAGCCAATAGTATCTAGAAATAATAATCTGGAGGGATTAAGGATTGATATTTCTGCCTAATTTAGTATTTGTTAGTTGCGTGTTAGGGGAACGTGGACATCCACATTGTAACAAAGTGGAATTGCCTAAGGCAAATGAGTTTCTCCTGGGCACTGAACAAACACAGAATTTGCCTCTACCCACAAAGTTAAATGCCTGAGACAAACAGGGAATGGCATGCCAAGGCAAACATCGATTGCTGCCCAGCCCAGGACATCACAGACTATTGAGGAACATGAGTGACTTTGTTTTAAAACTTACTCAACAAAAGCTCTGTGTCATTAATTGAGAAAGTTAATGTGATTAATAAACAGGTTTTCTCCCACCTGGCTTGTCTCTGGTTGTGTTGAGCAGAGGCAGCAGGGCTGTCTGGCCACGACCACACTATGGAAATGGCTGGAGCTGCATAACTTAGCTTTAGCTACAGTTCTGTGGCAGGAAAGAGAGAACGAGCTGCAGAAGCTTGCTCTGGTTATTAGAGGTCATCTTTCCATATATGTTATTCCAATATGTTATTTTTAACTGTTTACCACTGAGCTGGAAGCATGTTGCAGTTGGAGATTAGAATACCAAACCAAAGTGTCTTTAAATCTGAAACAGTTTCCTTTCACAGTAGTGCAAAGAGGCAAAGTTTGTTGGGAGGGATTTTCTTAATGAACAAAGAAGGGGAGGGGGGAAGTAGTTTAGGGTAATGCCTTACACACTTCCATCAAGAATAACTTAAGCTATTTCATTTTCCTCTTCCATGCCAAAAAGCCTAACTGTTTTTAAAGCACCTATTTAGAAATAGTTGGAAAAACAACTAGATGAAAATCATGGTTGTTGGTTTTAAATAAATGTCTTTTTCTAGAGCTGAGCACAACCTATAACTGCAAACAACTGATATTAAAATGTTTGTCTCTAAATTGTGTCTACTGAGAAAGTCATGTTCTGTGAGATCTGATACATGAAAGCCAGCTCCCAGCTGTTTTGTCTTTTGTTTTCTTTGTTTTTCTTATTTATTCTCCCTTTTTCAGGACAGGCAGGGAATGAGGTCATGACATAAAGTTCTTATTTTTGTCTTTTTTTCTCCTTTATCAGTCTCTCGTGTTAAATACTCTGTCTGCCTTCTCATCCTCTGATTTATTTTGATTTCTAGAGAATAGATGAAATCATGAAGAGAACAAGGAGGAGTGAAACACCAGAAATAAAGGTATGAAACAGTGAGCGGCTACAGTGTATTTTGCTTTATTTTATTACCCATATGTGAAAATTAAACTCTAGAGTAGTTCCATGTTAGTAGGTGTATTTATGTACCATCTGCACTCAAATTTTAGTTGCATTTCAGACTGAGAATGACTGTTGCTGTGTCACAGTTGTTGTGCTACTGCTACAGAGACACAGCTTTATGCAGCTGTTGCAGACTTGCCTCCCTTACTATCTGGCAAGCTGGCAGGAGCCCATCCAGGTCCTGGATACTGGAGCTGTCAGGTTTGCTGCTGTGATGTATCTTCTCCTGCTTTGTACCAGTCAGTGAATTAGTTACTGACCTCCCCGTGTTAAGCCTGCCAGGAATGTAGGACTGAGAACAAGGCAATTGTGTCCAGCTAGTAAGTGATGGAAAGTCAAGTTTTCACTTTTATTCTAAGTTTTCTACTGAGGAAACTTTCTTCAGTTACTTTCAGATAATGTTTGAAGTAAAATAAACAAATAAATAATATGCCTAATTAAAAAGGAAAAAAAAAAAGAAAAATCCTCTTGCTGTCAGTGACCTCTGACTACCCCATGACCCTGGGCAATTTCACAAGTTTCAAATCCAGTCAGTTCCATGAAGGTTACAGTCCTTCATCTAATACAGTTGCCTCATTACTTGTTTACAGAAGGAAGAAACAAAACTGGAGGTACCATCAACTCTGAATGTGGAAAAGCAACCAAAGACCCTTGTTCTCAACCAGCCAGGTAAAAATTGCAATATTTTTCTGACCTGTTTTCACAGTTATTTCTTTTCAGAGTTTTGTAATCTCAGACAGAGCACTGTGTTCTTTGCTTTAATCTCAAAAAGAACAGCTACGTTTGTGTCAATGACAAACGTTACAAAATGGAGATTCAGCTTTGTTTTGCCACGTAAGCAGAAGCAGAAGAAAGTTTCTCCTCCATTTTAGTACCTGACCTACCATTTCTCTAAATGAGAAGTTCCAGTCTGCCAACAGCTTTGGCTGCTGCCATCTACCTGCAAATTCTGTAGGTAGAAAATTTTTGCACACAACCGAGCTTGCAAACTTTTTATAGCATTGCTATAAATCTTATGTTTAATTTGAGTTGACAAATGCATATGTATTTAAAGAATTAATTAATAAAATACACATATCTGGCATTTTTCTATATTTTGCTTACTTTCCCAGGCTAAGGCTTTTAGTACATGACATAAAAGATAAAACCTTCTTTTCCTGTTCCCTCAAGTTTAAAAGTTGTAGCATAAAGAGCAATTTTAGAGTGGAAAAGAGGATTGACAGTATAGTGTGATGAGTCATAGATGAAACTGTGTCCTACTGCATTGTCAATCTTCCTTTCTACTCGATTTGTAACTTAAAAGCACTTTTTTTTAAACTATTTAAATAAAGAAGTTGCTACTGTCATAATTTCTAACCTTCTTTTTATAGAGATCAATGGATTGGCAACCTGCCTGAAAAATAAAAGCTTAGAAAGTGCTGCCTCTGTAATTCCTTCCCAAGACGTAGTTGCTAATGGACTAAAGTCAGTTCCAGGACTTATTCAGGTGGAAGCTGTTGATGGGAAGTCTAACAGCATGGAAGACTCAACAGATGAGGTTCAGTCCATGGATGTGAGGTACAGACCGTATCTACCAATAGAAATTGTGGAGTTCATATTAGACACACACAGTTTTCTGTTTAATTTATTAGTACTTTACTGCTTTACTTCTCACCTACCCCACAATGGGGCAGTCAGGTGCCTACTGTGGTGTATTCCACTGCTGTCAAGACGCAAATTGATTGATTCAGACAAGAGTCAACAGAACCTCGTCTCTCACTCATGTATTTTGGGGGGAGGGAGGGCTCTGAAATCCTTCTGCAGCCCTTACTTATGGATTCCATACAAGTTTGTCCAAACCTTTCAGGTTGTTCTGTGAAAGTAGCTACTGTAGATATTGTCAGGTGTCACAATTTTTTTTTTAACTTATGTCAAGACTGCATAGCTTTGATGCATGAGCTTTTCTCCCTCCATACAAAAAGAATAAAGAATCTAATTAATTTAGAATTTTAAGTACTTAACTGGAACAAATGTATGGAAATCAGTAAATAACTTAGTTTATATTAAATACTGTTGGATTTTGATGTGAGACTTGCAGGAATGAAGGAAGTTGATAATTTAAGGCTGCTATGAGAAAGCTAGCTCTGAATTATAAAGATGGAATTTTTATATACGACCCTTCCTTAATCAGCAAACCAACCTGATCTCTCATACGTTTCAGTATTTCCAGTAAATCTGCATAAACACACGAGACGTGCCTTACTGGGACAGACCAGAATGTTATTCTAGCCCATTGTTTAGTCTTGGAGAGTATCAGTAAGAAAAACTAGTTAGGGAGAGTGCCTGAGCCTACCACTTTCTGCAGTCCAAGACCACCCAAGTGTTACATTAGGGATGTTAGAGGGCACAACTCTGCCTTGCCCTTTGAAATACCCACTGATGGACCTGTTGCCTGGGAGTTTATCCAACTCCTTTTTCAACCTACTGGTAATGTTTGCATCCAGGACCTCATCTGGCAGCAAGTTCCACAGTGCAGTCCCACTCCACTAGGTAAATTGCATTCTTTGATAGGTGGTAAACCCTGTCTCTTACTAGTGTCATTGGGCACCCCTGGGTTTTGTGTTGCAGGATTTGATGTGCAATAGTTTCGCCCTCAACTTATCCACTGCTCCTTCAGGGTTTTAGAAATCATTGTGAAATCTTTCCTCTGCTTTCTCTTCTCCAGACTGAAGTGCACTAGCCTTACTAGTCTTGGCAAAGCATCAGCTGGCAGCAGCACTTCTTGTATTAAATTCTAGGATTTTTAATATCTGAAGTATATCATAAGGTTGTAAAAAATAACTTTTTGTTTGAGTGCTTTAGGTAAGTGTTTGCAGGGTCAGGACAATAATTTGCAAGATGCAGTAAACATTTAAGTAAGGGAATGGTGCAGGGACTGAAACAATGGGCTGGCAGTAAACTACCAGAAATGTGTTTTTAGGAGATCAGTGTTCATGTCACACAGCTACCACAAACCTTAGTCTTTAAGGAATATGGCTTAGATATGACCTCTGTCATGAACAGGGTAACCTCTTTTTATTTGGATTGGGACATATTCTAGGTAAAGCCTTGCTGCAGCTGGCCTTAAGATAAGTAGTAGTTTTTGGACAGATTAATTTGATTGTTGGTTAATGAAAAGTTACACACCTCTTATTCTGTGTCTTCCTTTTGTTTATCTTCTGTATAGCCCAGTTTCAAAAGAGGAACTTATCTCTATCCCCGAATATTCACCCATGAATGAACTCATGCCTGGTGTTTCTTTGGACCAAAATGGGACAAGTAATGCCAAGGCTCTTGAAGATCTCTTGGATTTCACAGGCCAAGCTACATACTCCAAGATGTCCACTGATACCATTAGCCTAGATGACTGTAACAAAAACTTAATTGAGGGATTTAACAGTCCAGGACAAGAAAATACACTTAATTCTATCTGTTGACAACCCCGCTTCTCAGCAGAACAGATAAAGGTACAGTATTAAGATAAACATCTTAGGTATGATAAATAGCTGTGATTACTTATGAGCTTCCCAGAAAAACATAGCAGTTGTAAACAGCGTATGTGGAGAGAGGAAAAAAGCTGGTCTCCTAGATACCTAAATTCAGCGTAATCTTTCGTAGTTGCAGCTCTTTGTAAATTAGCATCAGATGCGAACTGAGCGTATCGTAGCAACCAAAAGTATCTGGGAAATGGAAACATTTCCTTTACCATTCAGAATTAATGAGGGGAGTTGCTTTTTTTATTCATCAAAATGATATATTTCCTACAAATCTTTGGAGCCTATTTGCATGAAGAAAACAGTTAAAAGGGGGGCCAGCCTAGGAAGTAGTAGTTATTGTTGCTGCTTACGCTCTGTTGCTGCTGCAAATACTCGCAGCATAGTGTACAGTCACTTATCCTGGAAAGCCTGCAAACAATATGAACAAGCATAGTAGGCTTTAGAGACAGTTTCCAAGTACAATGCCACGGTCTAATTTTTTGAAAGAGTTTATTCTAAATTACAAAACTGAGGTCACCTGTCATAGCTGACTTGATATTCTTCTCTCTTTCTTTTTTAGTTGACAGAGGTAGCAGTTTGTGGAGGATGTATATCCCTGTGATGCTACTGGCAGTAAAATATGAGCTTGACACTTGAAAAAGCTTCTGCAGTCCTTGAACACTGGATTTCAAATAATCAGAGCTGAATATAACTTTGTCTTCCCAGGGAATATGTTGAATAACTGGTTGCTTTTGGCAGAAGCCAGTGATCTAGAGCCTTGGTGGTTTCAGGGAAGACTGTGCATTAGAATTGAGCTTTAGCTGCTAATAAAGCACTTAATAATCTTTTAATTTAAAATTCATCTCAACACTTCACTGTGACTCTTACCTGTGCATTTTATTTTGAAGTGATTCTTCCTTAAGCTTTATCATACATCTATTTAGACGTTGTTTTCTTGTAAATAATGATGAGGTTTGCCCACAGTGCATTGAAATGAAATAATATTCTGTACTTTAGTTTTGTGCCTATCTTTTTTCTTTTTTTTTCTTGTCTTTCATAAGGAGTTACTGGCAACTTTTATGCAGGTGTATAATTCAAAACTGTAGCTGAAGAGGCTTGAAAAATATACAGCTGCTGGAATGAAAAGAGCCTTCTTACTGTGGAGTGTGGGAGTTGTTCCGTTATGGTTATGTTGACACTTTTAGTCACTAGTGGCACTTACTGGTTAATATTGATTAGTCCGGGAGTGACTATCAATTATGTGTTTAAAAAAATACTTGTGCAACACCTGTAAACAAAGTAGGCACAATGCCTCGTATAATCCCTTAATATATATATATATATATATATAGTATAGCTGTAGTAGATCCAAGTGAGTGGTCTGGCGGGTGAGGTAACATGATAATCTTTGAAGATGCAGACACTTGATTAATACCAGCAGGCTTTCTATCATGTGGAGAAGTATTTTGGCTTCCTATAGGCTCAACAAAACGAGATTGATTCAGTCAGCAGCAAAACAACATGCAAGTATTGCAGCAGCAGGACAAAGGCTGAGAGAGACAGGGAGCACTGCTAGCCCCTTTGACATTCTGTAAGCATCTGTATGGAAAAACTCACATGAAGATGACATCATGTGCCATACAGTGTTAACCTTTTTTCTGTTGGTGAACTACGATAACTATATGCTAGATCATGTGCTGCTTTGGGGACACTTTTGTCCAGTTCCTTCTAAGAATTATTTATAAATACAACTCTCTTTGGACACTAAGACAGAAGAAGTCAAAACTTGGAGGGGTGGAGGGGTTTGGGGTTTTTTTTTGCTTTTTTGTTTGGGTTTTTTCACATGTGAGGGAGTTCACAGCATAGCTTGAGCTCAGTTGTAGCCCCGTTCTTGTGCTCTTTAAAGCCAGCAACGGGAAAGTAACCAATGATGTTATAAATGTGCGATGTATAAAGAAATCACACCTACAGCAATCCAGCTCTATTTATATTAGTGTACTTCAGAGAAATACTTTCTTTTGACTGTGCAGTAAGTTGTAGCATGGTACTGTGTCTTCCAAATTAGTCCTTCATCTATTTCCTAAATAATAAACAAACAAAACCAGTTTGTTTTGCTGTGATGCATTGTGTTTGACAAATGTCACATATTTTATAACGGTGTCATTGTATAACCTGTAGATTTCTGTATTTGCATGACCTGTATAGCATGTATAAAGGTGAAATACATTTTCATTTATGAATCTCACTTGTTTCTTAGCTTTTTTACTTGCAGCAAAAAAATCACTAATTTAACAGTACACATATGTTAATTTGTTCTGAGGTGTTTTCTGAAGGAGGGTGTAGTACTGAATGAAGGAGCAGTTGTCAGAGCCTCAAAATATTTCACCATTATTTCCTTTGCCATATACTAATTTGCTTTCTGAGGTCTTGCCAATACACAGAACAAATGCAGACAGCTGGGGGAAGAACCTTGAGGTGAGAGCTTCCAAACTGTGGCTTCCAGGGTGCTAGTGACGGTATAAAAGCCAGTTTGCAGCCCCAGCTTCTGCTCTCCAGGGTATTGCTTGGCAAAGAAAACAAGGAAGAGAAAACTTGGGAGCAGTGGCCGGTAGACAGCGCTCTGTTAAGCGTGCAGGAGCTGTTCTGTAAGGGTACCCATAACATAAGTGCTGATTTTCTCTTCAAGCAACGTGCACATACTGCTGCTTAGAAAGAGGCCAGCCTGGAGCTGCTGTTAGTTTTCTAGTGAAACATTGTGGGGGGACAAACATTTTTACAAGTTTTAGTTTTGGGTTTGTTTTTTTTTTTTTAAATCATAACTTCAGTCAAAATTAAAAATGAGACAATTTACTTTTATTATGAAGTATATTAATACTTTCTGTGGTGACAGTTTATCTCACGCTCCTATTACCTCTTGAGTCATTCCTGTGATTTGTCCACACAGTTATTTGCTAAGATGAAGGGGAGCAAGCATGGTGAGTCTTAATGAAGAAAGATATTGCGTATTTTCCTTGATATTTGCTTTCAGATGTAACCTCACAAATTTGGCTGAATATCTGGAGCAAGTACTCTTAGCTGAGGAGTTAAATTGCTTCACCTTTTTGCTTTTGATGATGTAACTTCATACCAATATTGGTGTTTGCTGCTGTGATTCAAGTCTATGCAATGAGCTTTACTTTTAATTTGTCAGTGGTCTTCCTACTGTGCCAAAGGATCACTGGTGATTCACACAAGTGCTTGGTAGAGCTTTTCTGCTGTAAAGCACTTGAGAATCAAGCTGTGATGAGAAGCAAGAAAGAAAAGAGTAGAGCAGTGATCATTGAATGGGTTTTCTTAAATTGATTTATAAATGGATTTTTTTTTTCCACGTTACAGGATCCTGCAGATCACTTTATAAAAGTAACAGGATTGTATATACCAAGAAGAATAGGATACTGCTACTGTCCTCTCCCAGATTTATTTTCAATGACTAGTATAATTATCAGTAAGTCTCTAATACATAAATAATACCTGTGAGGTAGTAGAGCATCACAGAAGCTCCCTGATTAGGTTCAGCATTTTCTGTGGGGCTGCCCTGGGAAATGACACCCAAAGCTTGCCTCAAGCCTTGGCAAAGAGACCTCCTGAGCAGAGACCTCCTGGCTCCCCAGTGAGTTCATTTCAAAACAAAAAGGCAGCAGTGGATGGTGGACCCCCAGGCTGCATTTTCATCTAGTGATGAAGGGCTAGAAGGTGGGGAAAGCATCCTTTCTTGCTGTAATTGCACAAATTCTGCATGTGGAGAAAGCAACAGCAATAGCACAGGCTGCCACTCTGGCTGATGGGGATCTTCCCTCTGACACCTCTCAAAAAGACAGCAGCACCTCTCCCTGATTCCCACGCCACCATGGTCCCAGCCTCACCAGCCTATCCAGCTCAGGCACCCCTGCCCCCACCCTGCTTCTATTTCACGCATCAGCAGCGTGGCTCTGCCCCTCTGGTACTGCTGCACAACCCCAGGTGCCCAAGATAGTGCTGTGCCCTTCTCCAGCATCAGTCATGGCTGCTCAGAGGAGCCTGGGATACCAGGAGACCTCTGGAGCTTCAGCACATGGAAGGCAGCCTGGAAAGCCTAGTAGAAGGCATCCTTCCCATAAAGATTTAGACTGTGGTCCCTTCCTTGTAAACGGTTTCATACTCAAGAGCTGAAGACTGTTCACTCTGTGAGGTTGGCATCTTGTTTGCTCTGAGCCATGGCCCATATCCTGCACCAGATGGAGACTGTCCTGTAAGCGGCACAAACAAATCGGTGGGGATACGCTGCCCCTTCTCCTGCTTTAGTGACCTCTGGGACTTCTTCCTTGCTCCTCCCCTCTCCTTCCCTATGCAAGAACCACATAGAGATTGAAAAACTCCCTGTTTGCTCTCATTTTAGAAGAATATTGTTCAAGCTATTGGTTGCCTCCAAAAACAACATGGAGAGTGGTTGTTCACCAATGCTGCCTCTGTGTGTGTGTGTTTGCAAATGTATATAAATGGCAGTTACCAGACATCTGGGGATGTTAGTTTTCAGTATCAATATTAAATTCTGAAAAATTTATTACTGCTCGGCCACTATGCTAAAATCTGAAAATATAATGTGTACTATGACTGAGTGCAATTTTTTCTGGATTTTATTTTTAATCTTAAGAAGAACAGGTTTTAAATTTAACTACTCCAGAATACATCCACTTAAAAATTATAGAAACCTTAAGATATTCAGATGCATTCTTGTTATTGCTGTTCATGGCAATAATACCAGTCCAGAACACCATGAGCCACACTGCTTATCTCTCACCCACTTCTTTAGCCCATTGTTTATCGTATGAACTCTTACAGCTGAAGAGTAGGTGATGCTATTCACTCAGTTGGCCAATTTGTCTGTTGAAGCAACACGTTAAGTGTGAAAGCCCTTAAAATTGCAGGCAGAGACGCTAAGAGAAAGGATGTTTAAGCTTTTAAAATAATTACATAAAGTCTAAGAAAATGGTTTCTTGACCACCAGAATAATTTTTCACACTTGTTTTCTCAGTTGCCTTGTTTGTTCTCCAGCTTATAGTACCAAAGTATAATAATACATTTTATAGTATTTTTAATGATTCAAGACTGAGGTAGTAATTTTTTTAAACTAGCGGGTTCGATTGCCTGAGGCCTGCAATTTTCAGAATCAAAAATAAATGCTCTGGAAATCAGTGTGTGATGTTCACTTGGGAGCTTTATGAAAATAGATGTATATCCCTGCTGAAATCAAGCCTTAATGATTTCCAGAGAAAAAACAAGTGTGATGCAGGAGAGATCCAGTGAGTAGCAGGAACTGGCAAGCAATGTGCTGCATGATCTATCTATGGAGTCCTTGCTCTAAGAATGTTTTTTAAAGTAGTTGCATGAATAGCTGAAACCAGAAGCTTTGCATCGTCACCCATATCTTCTTGCCATGTCTGAAAGGAATACCTTGAAGTCAATGGCAGTTGTAGGTCATTGATGTTGGACAGGAATGAACCCAAGAATCTAAAAAGACAGCTGGAGAAAAAAAATAATGGATGTGAGAGAAGTCCACAATCAGGGAAATTACTGTGACAGTATTTCTTCTTCTTTTCCTAGAAATAACAGCCATTCTCACCAATTTCAATACATGAGCAGCCCAGTAAGCAGGATCAGGGCAATATTTGTAACACCATGTTAACATTATGTTCACACATCCCTTTTCAGAATAACTTCTCTCTTTTAGAATACATGTGACAGCATTATCTGAAGTCTCGTTATTAGTGCCTTAAATATGCAGGGCTATGGGGGTTTATGCCACTAAATTCTATGGAGTTATTCCTAATTTTCTTGGTGTGAGATCTCAAGAACAATTTTCATTCTTTCCTTTTTCTTCTTTTTATTTTATTAAACCTCTCATCAGTTCAAATACACAAATCCAAGAGACTACACATTCTGGTGGCTGCTTGCTGGAAAGAGTTTGTTCTCTCAGTTCCTAGAGAAAGGCTGCCCATACCACAGCCGGCAGAGAAACAAGAAGTCCAAGGAGTCTGTTGGAGACTGAGTATCTGCAGTGTGTCAGGGACAGCAATGAGACACCGCTGGCACAGGCAACAACTATAATTTT